CTTTCTTCTCCTGTATGTAAAAGTACTTCACCACCGCCACAATCAGACAGAGACTGAGATTTACAATGTGGCTAGAACAAAGGAAAGAATCAGACAAAAAAGCAGAGGCAACACACCAAAGTAATTACCACACATCATTTCTTTCCATAGACATTCATCCATTTACTTTCATAATCAGAAGAGTTACACCTATTTATGGTGTCCATTTATTACACTCCCCTTCCCGAACATGACCAATGGGAATACTACTAAAGTGGGGAAGCTCTTGGGGAAAAGCATAAGAGAACAAAACTAAATAAACAAAACCACTCACGGGTTGGTAGTTGCCTCTAAGAAGCTGTAGTTTTCATTTTGTTCATCCTTCAGCCGACCCAGCTCCTCAAACAGCTGGCCGATTCTAGACGACGTGATAGAAAAAGATAACGAAAGAAATAAGACAAGATGATACAAATATCCTAGGCGAGGTGATAGAAAAAGATAACGCAAAAAATAAGACAAAATTATACAAATATTCTAGACGAGGTGATAGAAAGAGACAACGCAAGAAATAAGACAAAATGATACAAATATTATATCAGCAGACAAATTAAAATGAGCGTGTGTGTGTCTGTGTGTGTGTGTGTGAGTGTGTATGTTTGCATGTGTGTCATTTCTTCATTCATATGAGCAAATATTATTTTTTTCAGTTATTGTTTTGTACTTGGATTTATGTAACGCGCCTACAGCTGTGTGTACACAGGAGTAGGTGTTGTGAAAATTATCTACAGCAGCAGCAGCATTAAAATTTGGGAAAATGCCAACTTCAGTGTTCAAGGCTACATAAACCAGTAAAGAAAGTTGGATAAGAGGAAGGCTGTACAAAAAAAATAGAAAAGTAAACTATTTTCTAAACTAGAGAGCACTCAATTCTATTTCAGGTGAATGTAGAAAACTATCATGCAACTGTTGGTGATAAAAAGATATACTTCTACGTCCCACACGTGGAATCACTGTATCATATTATATAACATTTTATGTTTATACATCTTCAATAATTAACAAATGAATGAAAAGGTTTTTTTAAGCAAAAAGAAAAAAAAAAAAAAACCCAGGATATTTGACTACTAATCAAAATCTCTCACGTCCAACTTTTATTCTGAATAGCGTAATCTAAATAGAGATATTTTATACTTATTTTTGTATTTCTATTTTCATTCATGACACATTATTTGCTAGAAGAGCACTGGGACAAACTTATGTTCTTAACTTTACACATACCTGTGAGCTGCTCCTACTACATCAGTCATTTGAACTGACTGGTCTATCAACTTTGTGAAACAGTTGATCAAATATATAGACACAAAGGCATTCTGAAAAGACACAGACAATTTCATTATAATATGCATGCACATTCACCAATCTCATAAAAATGATGCCAAAGAATATAAGTCCATTCTCCTAAGTTTTAAAGACATGTCATTTAAATTTACTTACAGAAAACAGAAAAAAATCAATAGTTAACACTTTGCCCCACACAGCACCGCGCAGTGCGCACAACACTTGTCCCCACAGACCAGGTATGTAGATAGGGTACATTAGTACAATACCTGTATCTCGGCAAAAATACCCTAACCATTTTGAAATTTTTAACTCATTAAGAAAATTGTGATGATCGCGTGTTCACCAAAAAAGGAATTAGAATTGGAACTGGAAACATTAGAACTAGCACATTTGTCACCCGAATTCTCTTCAGGTGTTAGCATAAATTGGAATTAGAATTGGAACTGGAAACATTAGAACTAGCACATTCGTCACCCGAATTCTCTTCAGGTGTTAGCATAAAGCAGCTAGGTCAACTAGACATTTTTTTTTAATGTACACTTATTGTATACAAAATCATTTTCGACCTCATAGGCCACACTAGCCATTCATGAAGGAAATTATAACTTTTTAAAAATGCATATATCACAAAGGAGATCATTGCTGCAACATTTTTGTCGCTATATCACACCATCGCTGATCAGCATCCCAAGGGGGAAAAGAGATCGATTCTTACATTCGCCGATTGGCGTCCTGTGGGGGCAAAGTCTTAAATTAACTGCGAGAGTGTGGACATGAAAAGAGATTTACCTTGAAGAGAACAGCAAGAACAGGGGTCACCAATTTTTTTCCAAAGAGGACCAGATAACTGAGAGAATGCCAAGGATAGAGCGTTTAACTATTTTGTTCAATACTACACACTGAATACATTATAAAAACATTTGCTAGACGTTATGAAGTCTACGAAACCACTTTTAATTTGCACTCTAGAGTTCAATGTAAATGGTTAAAGTAAAATCATTTTGGTGATCGAGTACTGAGCATGATATTTTAACACATCTTTCAAGTTTGTTTGTTTTTCTGAGTGATAGCATAGCTGTGGGCCAGACATACTGACCTCGTGGACTAGAGTTTGATGACCCCTGCGTAAGAAGAACTAATAAAACTGTGTGGCTTACTGTACTGATAAGCTGGGCCAATTCTCCTGGTTCCATATAATCGTATCTCCCAACGAAAATAGGAAAAGCAATTGCAATGTATGACAAGATGGAGCCCAAGTAGTCTGCACTGTTCGTACAACCTGGTGAAGAGTAAACATTACAAAATTATTAAAATCAAAGAGTTGTGAGAAAGAAATATGCTTTTCTGTATACACTACACTTATTTCAACATACTGACAGTTTGTTTTAGTAGAGGTTTTACAGCGCTCGCGACTACGTAAGGTAATATGAGCGCCAGAAAATAAGAGGTGTTACAAGAGAGTAACAAACATAAAAAAGGAGGGGAGATAAGGACGATAGATGTTTCATAGGAAAGAAGGAACAAACCACACCAGAGCACCCGCCAACCACCCACATATACTAACAGTAATCTTTGGTTCTGTTTCATAGTTTTAGTAAAAGTTTTACGACATTTGCAATACAATTAGGTCATATAAGTGCCCACGGTTAGAGCTGTTACGAGAGAGTAACAAACACAAAAAAGGAGGAGAGATAAGAAAGAAGGAGAAAACCACACCAGAGCACCCGCTAACCACCTACAAATTTTGGTTCACAACACAGAACAATATGAGCTTGAATAAAGTCAGGAATACTGACACAAGAACAGTAATTTACTTCATGGAAAAAGCAAGACAGACAATTGTTAAAAAAAAACAACAGAAACAGGACCTACTGATGGTGCCTTCCAGCCAACCATAATAAAATTGAGGATTTGTAAGATGGAGGGATAAAAAGCTTTTATAGACATAGCTACACTTATCAAAACATATCTATAGCAGTTTATTTCATACACCACACAGACAGTATTTTGCTTAAAGAAAAAATCTCATCTTTTTAAAGATCTAGATCTTGAATTGACATCACAAATGTCAGCACTTAACTAGTCCTTTAATCCTATCCATACGCCTGGGGTCATTTTGAACCCCAGGGGTTGTTGTATTCTTCACATTTTAGAATACTTCTAGTGCGAAGATCTCTTTGAAACTTTCAGTATCATCATTCTGACAGACCGCTATGCACAGCGTACAGATCGGATTAACGAATAAATTTCCTCTTTGGAAAGTGGAGGCACAGAGTTTCCCATTTTGTGTGGATAAAATAGTGAAGCACAACGTACGGATAGGGTTAATAAAAAGATTTTAAAATCAATTTTGTTTTCAGTAGCCAGGTTACTGAAACTCTTTAAAAATATGCTATTCCCTTTCTTCTTTGTAACCATGATACCAAGCAAAAAAGATAGTTCACTTCTATTGTCCTTATATAACTTTGCTAAATGTAGAATTGCAATCACAAAATCAAAATTGAAAAAGATGACATCCATCTGGAAATGACAATGCAAAAAATACAAAATAAGGATTTTAAGAAGCACAATATTCCCCACCACAACATATGGAGGTGAATCATGGACAATCAATGAACAAGATTTTAGGAAACATTCGCCGCTTTCAAAATTAAATGTTAAAAAAGAACATCCAGGATACAGGAAATTAAAAATTCAAGAAGTACTTAGAAGAATGAGGTATAGAAACACCAACACTCCTCACTGAAACTGAACTACTGATGAATCAAGAGAGGAAGGAGCAGACCTAAGAAAAGATAGGAACAAGACATACAAATCTGGCTTGCAACAAAAAAAGCAACACAGACAGGTATAAAGGCAAGAAACAGTGTTTTATAGCAGAAAGGTGCAACCTCCAAATACTGAAAAAGCTAAAAAGAAGAACTTAACTAAAACTATGGCTTCCTGTAAAATATTCTGTAAAATATGCTCATTGTGACTGTGACACTACTTCCAACACAATGCAAATTGTAACTAAGAATAAATCAAATAAAAAGCACTCACAATGGAGAGCAAATTCCCATAGAACCAGTCGATGTTGTGTTCTGAGTAGAGTAGAGAGCTTCTTATTTGCTTTGACTTTCTCCACTTTGCCTGCCCGGTAAAATGCAGCAGACTCAGCATTGCTTCTCATTTGCATATGCTTGTACCTAAGGAATAGAAAAAAAAAGTGATTTAATTATGTCGTTATTGTTAGTGTTCAGTAAAAACTAGAATTTACCAATACAGCGCCCTCTAACCTTTCACTTTCACTTTTCTCTTCCACTTGTGGTAGTGGGTGTTGTGGGGAGACACAGGCGTCTCTGCAGCAATGCGAGTGGCCTATTGGAGGGACATCCCGTGATCTCTGAGGGTGTCTGCCACAGATTCGCTCCAGCGTCGTCTTGGTCTTTCTCTGGCTCTCCAGCCACAATATCTGGTGTTGCATGCACTCAGAGCTGGTTGGTTTGAAGGCATCCATGCGAGGTGTCCTAAACACTTAATCCTCTGTTTCTCAATGAGTGGTAGAACTGGTGTTGCTCCTACCATGTCTCTTATGACTTCATTTTTTTATCTTGTCTCGCCTGGTCTTGTTTACTGCTCTTCTTAGACATTTCATTTTGTATGTGACCAGCTTCCTATCGAGGGCTTTTGTTAGGAACCATGTCTGGCACCGATATGTGAGCGTTAGTAAAATAATGGCCTTGATGAGCTTTGCCTTGGTGCTCATGGGGATGTTGGGATGTTTCAGGAGAGGGGCAAGTACCCTCTAACCATCAACTCTAAACAAGCATAAATAAAATAGCTCACTTAAAAGTTACAACAGATGTACCTAAAATCTCCCTCTTTCTTCTCCGCTATGAAGAAGTACTCCTCCACTAAATTCATTAAAAGCTTGCTGAAAACAGAGTTGCCATAAGAAGCATAATATTTCCCAGGGAACAGTGAAGGACAAAAACTAATACAGAAAAAAAGAAGAGGAGGCAGACCACACCTACCAACCCCTCACTACCTAATGAACATAAGAGTTGGAAAGAGCTAGACTAGCAGATGTTTTAAGAAAAGAGAAGCACACTTACACAATAATAGTCATATAGTGCAGGGATCCAGGTAGGACAGACAGGGGAAAAAAAGAGCGAAAGATAAAAACTAGAACTTACATCCTCCAACCACCAGCTCCACACAAGTATAAAGAACTCACATAAGTTTAGCTTTAGTAGAGGTTTTACTGCACTCGCCACTGCATAAGGCCATATGAGCGCCAGAAGATTAGAGGTGTTACAAAAGAGTAACAAACATAAAAAAGAAGAAGGGGAGATAAGGACGATAGATGTTTGATAGGAAAGAAGGAGCAAACCACACCAATGCATGCGCCAACCACTCACGTAAAAGTTATGACAAAAATACCTGAAATCTCCTTCTTTCTTCTCCTGTATGTAAAAGTACTTCACCACTGGAGTCATCAACAGCTTGTTGAACACAGTAAACACAACAAAGAACACGGCTGTGCTGGCTGGTCCAATGTACCCAGACCTGAGAGGAAAACAAAGACCACAATCAAATACATTTTACGTTTATGATTAATTATTCATTTTGGCAAATTTGGACTGCCATTAATTAAGAACATCAATCCATTGTCTCTTCAGCATCAAATCATGAGAACATCATCAACTTATTCACTAGTACAAGCCAACTTATCATCTCTGTATTTTCCTTGTCACTACAATGAGCCTTATGATCGGCTCAACTACATGTTTCTATAAATACTGAAACTATTCCACTCCAAACTTTCACTAATAATATCCATGTTCTGATCCAGAAATACAGTCGAACCTGCCATGACGGCCAGCTGTACAAATGGCCACTTTCCATTTCCCCCCTTATGTTTTTTCGACATAATTTAACTGTGTAAAACGGGCATCTGTACAACGCGGCCACGGCCACCTATTTTAACAACCTACTGTCAAATTTACCTGCCTCAGGCGGCCAGGCGTGGTCACTCATTGCCTGACGCTTGGTCATAAATTTTCAATCGGCCTCATCCTGTGGACAGGCCATCATAATTCATTCAACTGTCCTTATTGTTAGTCCCATCAGTGAATGTTTACCCAAGTTGACCAATGGATAGGGCTAACAATAAATTTTCAAATGCTGGTGAGGGAAACGTGATCCATCATAACCTTTAAGCCCCACCCACAACTCATGCACAAATCTTCAGAGAGGTGACTGGTTACTGTTGTGTTTACCTAATCAGTAACAAAGTAACAATTACAATGGATGTTGACGTGAACTTGCAACAAAAGCGTCGCTCGTTTTGAGAGTGGTGGCGACCCATGTGTTTGTTTAACCATGGCACTCGGTCTTCATCGTCTTACTTACATAACGTTCTGTTTATTTTACCCTTGCACAAAATCAGCAACAAAAAGAAAGCTTACCAAAAAACAACACAAAAAAACCCTTCTTACACTACTCAAAGGAAAACAAAAACCCTTTTGAATTAGCCTTACGGCAGTCTCAAGTTTTAGATCAGCCCCGCACGGCTGCTAAAATGCGACTGAAAGTGGTACTTTAGTTGGTGGCCAAGCCCCAGTCTGACCTCCCGGGTGAAGGTAATAAATCAGTGTCAGTCGGCCACTCCCGTGCTTAACAACCGTGACGATAGCGATACCCGCCGCTGTGCCTGCGTAACTCGGTTCTGGTAATTTTCGTATCACTTTCCCTCGTTATTTCTCCCGATCTGATAAACCTAGAAGCCTGTTTATCATCTCATTTTAAAGATCATCTTAAGACTAACAAGACGATCCCACTTTCGCTCCGGAAATCTCACTGGTGTTATAGCAGTTACGCATTTTGCAGTACAAGTGTTTTGTTCATCTAATGTTGCATTTTAAATTATATTCCATTTTGGAGTTTATTATCTCAAAAGCCAAACTCAGATTTTTCACTCAGATTTCTCTGCTTCACTTGAAACAGGTTAGACATTTAGAAGGTTGAGATGTACTTTCTGACTCTGAAGAGGAGAAAATTAACTTTCAAAAACAACAGACGGAGAAGGAAGACAGGTTGTCGGAGTTAGAGCACAAACCCCCTAACCCTAGGACTGACCCTATCTGTTCTCATTTAGACAGCATACTTGACTCGCACAACATCACACTGCAGGCATATCACGGCCGCTCTTTCATTGGCAATCACTGCCACAAATACATCATGAGTCGCGTTTATAAAGACCTCACGGCATTTATTGTAAAAGAAACAGTAGAAAACTCCCACAACCAAAACATAATTGACACCGCTTACACTCTCATAGAAAAATTCAATCATTTACACAACGCGTTTCGGGACCTTCACATTCACATCTCACACGGCCAACCAGTGTCAAAAGACGGACTACCACACTTTGACAACATGCATCAAAACTTACATGTCATTCTACAGGAGACACTTAAGTGAAAAGGTACTTCCCAAACACCACATTTTCGAAAACCACTGAATCCCGTGGATACAAGCATATGGGTTTGGTTTGGCTTTACATGGGAAACAGGGTGGTGTACTTATCTATGTTTCTGTGGCAAAGCTGGAGAGAAGAGGAGCTGGGATACGTAATATCGAACAACAGCTGAAAGTTGTCATGCAATCTTACCCCGTCATGTCAAATCCAAAACTATTATCCAATGTGCCTCCGACAAAGAAAAAAAAGGTGATACTGCAATCAACTCTTCACTACTCCAAAACCATGGACTTCCCTCAAAAACAGCAACGTGAGTTTTGATATTTGACCATTTCTGGTGTATTTTATGTGAAATTGAATGGTTGATTAAGTTTTGTTTGATTGAAATTTAGATCTAAAAATATTCACGCCAAAGGGCAATGGTAAAATATGAGCCATTTTTGGAGCGCTATATATATTTATCGTTATTTCATACAATTTTGCATCTTTCTCAGTAAGTACAGAAGTTCCCCCTTGTTCCAAACAGGCAAAATAAAATGACGATAAAGTCACCGATCGGCGTATTTTGCAAGTTTAATTGTCCTAAAAATGAAACGAACAATGCTGTTAGCGGGACATGGGGAATTCCCCTGGCCACGAGTTCATGACCCGGTGACCGGGGTCAGATTACAAGGTGTGGCGCGCTAGCTGCCTGCGAACTAAAGTACCGCTTTCTAACAGCCGTGCCCGGTTTGGACCTCAGAAGAGAATGATTTGCTTTCTTCATTTTGACCAGTCCTGCCTAGGACAGCCACCAGTGTTATACGGCCCCTTTTCTCCTTGATAATGGGTGACCATTTTAGACAGGTTTGACTGTACTCGGTTTGGGGGAGGGGAGGTGTCAATTTTTCATTTCAGTTTTCTTTCATTTGATATATAATATTTAATACTTGGCTAACAAATAGGTAAATCAGTGGACTAAACCAAACGTTTTCACAAAACAGGTGCCTGCCTTTGAAAGAAATTAAGCCCAGGACACTAGAAATTATGTAGTAGTTCATAACTGACTTACGCATTCCATGCCTTGTACAAGTAGTAGCCAGTGGTGAATGGGGTGATCATGATGGGAATGAGAACTTGACTGAAAGTGTTACACATGCGTTCCACATCCTGGGTGATACGCTGGTCCCTGAAAAGAAAAAATTGATTTGAAACTCTTAGTAAAAAATGTAACACAACAGACTTTGCCTCAAGCAAAAGGCAACATTGCAGTTAACTCACTTGAGCCTGAGCTATTTTTTCACCCTACAACCATTGCAGCTGACACTTTTGAGGTATATTGAAGGGTTAACCACAAAAATACTGTGAAAGCTGCTATCAGTTTTTAACATGCAATAAGAGAAAGAAAGAAATTCTCTCAAAGAAAAAGAAAACTGCATCTAATTTGTCCAAATCGTTTTTATTTTATCAATATTTTGAAATGGCAATGTCTGGGGGTTATGCAATTCTTTTCTTTTTTTGGCGTCCAATGTATAATAATATTTTATCCATCGCAATGCAGGGGTGACTAACTTAGTCCGTTACAGCTCAAAAAGTATCACACATAAGTTCGCAAAATTTTTAATGAAACGAAACAAGTGGGTCAACTGTTGGCTCACTGCTTCCCACAGCTTGTAACTGAAAAAACACTGAAGATATTGATCGATAAAGCGCATCCCGTAAATACACAGGATTAGGCCACCGGGCGTCCCGTAAGTACACAGGAATAGGCTCAAGTGATTTAAAACATCCAATCTACCAAAACTGATGAAACACCTCTAAGAGAGATTATCTTCATGGAGTTGTAATTTATGACAAGTACCATTCAAAGTTTAATGAAAACCAACGAACACAATAATAATACTGAAAAGAAATAAAACGGAACAGCCAACACAACAGAAAGCACCCGCCATCTGCCTTGAATTGAACAATAAAAAGGATATGTCAATGCCACAGAGAAAAATCTTTATAACAACCTAGAAACACTTCGACAAACCATTGTAAGTGTGAGGATGTCCATCATCTCCATATTACGCAGAACGGGAAAGTAGATGAAGATATGCTGTGTTGTTAGCGATCCAGTAGCATCTGAGCGTTAACTCTTTATGTATATATGCTATAAAAACAAAAAGATACACTGTAGCTTGCACTCACGGATTGTCAACAGTCTTGTCCACGACGTTGAGCTTGTAGTACAGGATGTCCGTGAAGTAGAGGTCATGCAGAGCATTGCACACTGAGCCTCTCCACGTGATGTATAGCACAGAGGCGACATACGTTTTAGTGCTGAGGATCTGAAAACAGTCAACAATAAAACCTTAGCAATACACTCCTTTAGCTCTTGAAATATGAGCTTATTGGGCATCTAAAAAATTAACACCCCCTACCCCCCGCCCTGTCTCAAAATACTTGTTCAAGTCTCTAAGTATCTTAAGGAATCAAGACCTATAGTTGTTAGTTTTAGTAAGAGTTTTACAATATTTGAAACACAATAAGGTCATATCAGTGACAAAGGTTAGTAATATAAGATAAAAGAAGGTTTAAAAATATATAAAAAGTATATATGTAAAATTGATCTCAACTGTAGCATGAAATACAAAAAGTAGTATTCAGTTCAAGGAACATACAACAAATATTTCAACAGTGCGAACTTTACAAGTACATGTATAGACCTAAACGAAAAAAGTAGTATTCAATTCAGTAAACCAATATAAACGAAAAAAGTAGTATTCAATTCAGTAAACCAATATAATCAAATATAGAGCAACTCACAAACGCCTCTGCAAGGATCAGCAAAACCCCTTCCAACAGCTGCTTGTAGAACTCAGCTTCCTCTTTGTCTGTGAGAATCTTGTAGAACTTTCCGGACAACAGCCCAACATAGTAGATGAGGACTTGCTCTGAAAAGGGCAAAAGCATTGAAAATAGAAGCTAGTAATTGCAGAATGTGACAAGAAAATGACATCGCTGGTTCAAAGGAGTAAATTTGTTTACACTCCCATGGGAACAGTTTAAATTTTGAAGGAGACTTGAAACGTTGTTGGTTGGAGAATAAACAAGGACACAAACACAATAGCAGACACATAGTGCAGGAAAATAGTAAGATAGACAGAAACAAAAGTGAGAAAGAAAAAAAGTAAGAAGTACATGTATATGTGGTGCCTTCCAACCTGAGGGAAACTGACTGACATTACTATCATTTGGCCTGTAGGTTATTGAAAATGACATTAAGATATAAATTGGGTTAACAACAAAATTCTGGTATGGGGGAGGGGGGAGGGGACTGTCTGAAAACTACTGCCCCCGCCCACCCACCCCCCAAAAAAACGGCAAGCGGGCAAACAGGTAACATCAAATTCTGCAATGGGAGGAAAATAAAGAGGAGCATATCAACTCAACTTCGACCTCCAGCCAATAAGAGAACAGGAAAACCCTAAACAGAAACCACTCCATTAGAATGACAAAAACCTATCTGACATTTTTGGCCATTTTGAGTTACTAAGACCAGAAACCAAAAATGTTCTACCTGCTATATCGAAATCGAAAGATTATTCAGAGTCGTTGTCAAGATATTCAAGGAACTGAATTCGAAAAACCTTGACATGTTGTGAAACTCAACAATTTTACGTCCAATTTCTCAAAACAACAGTGTAGATACGAGCAGATAGAACTTTGTAATTCTGAGGTAGCGAAATTACAAGGGTTGAAAATAAAATGCCCAGACAAAATCATCCCCCCGCCCCCCTAGGTGCACATGATACACCATTGCATTCACTGCATTACTATTGTTGTTTTGTTCTTGTTCAGGTGGGGGGTTTTAGTTTTATTAAGAGGTTTTACAGCGCTCGCAAACCAATAAAATCATAGAGTGCCGAAGAATATAGGTGTTACAAGAGAGTAACAAACACAAAAAAGTAGGAGAGATCAAGATCATAGATGTTTGATAGGAAAGTAAAAGCAAATCACACCAGAGCACCCGCCTACCACCCACTGTTCAGGTGTGCTTTGCAACAAACCAGACAAATATCAGCCGCATCTGGCGTGGACACAAGACATTTGGGTCACTGAAAATGAAGGAGCAGACCACAGCAGAAAGCCCATAAACCACCCATAGACTATAGTAAGCCCACAAACCACCCATAGACTATAGTAAGCCCACAAACCACCCATAGACTATATTAAGCCCACAAACCACCCATAGACTATATTAAGCCCACAAACCACCCATAGACTATATTAATATTAAGCCCACAAACCACCCATAGACTATATTACTGCACGACCAAATACCCCCTTC